ATGGAAGGTAGGTTTGACAATGCAGTGATGTGAGGTTGGTGTGACATGGAGGTAGAGCTTGACAGTGTAGTGATGTGGGTGGTATGACATGGAGGTGGAGTCTGACAAATGTAGTGGATGTGTGGGCTAGTGTGACATACAAGGTGGGTTTAACTGTTCAGTGATGTGGGGTGAGTACCTTTAGCTACCCGTTAGAAATGTATGCTGAGTGCTGCATTTACCTCTGTTTCCAGCATTTCTATTTATATAATGTGCTGATAGTTGTGATGTAGGGGTGGAGGTGACGTGGAGAGTAGAGTTAAAGACATAGATTTAAGCGATGTAGGGTGGTTGTGACGTGGCAGTAGAGTTAGACATAGTTGTGGGATGCAGGTTGGTGGCAGCTGATAGAGCGCACCAAAACGAGTAGGTGAAATTTTAGTACATTTGCCTGCAGTTGGGTTGAACAACGTCATGATCTGTGGTGATGCTACGCATTGAAAGGTGGGTTTGAGATAGTGTAATGAAAGGATAAGTAGGCCTGGGGTTGTGGCACTTTTAGCTACCCGTAAGAAATGAATGTTGAGGAATATATTAGGATTCCTGTGTGAGTATCTAATCATATAAATTGCTTATTGTTTACAATGTCCCATCTTCCAGATACTCTACGTATCCACCTGGAGCCACCAGGCAATTAATCCTCAACGTCTTTCTCGGTCAGCCAATCAGTGTCAAGTGTGTGGTCGATTACTCCAACTCTCCCGTCACGTCGTTCAGGTGGACACACAGTGGACGTTCCTACAGCGGACAAACCTTCAGTAAAACAATAACATCCAAAGTCTGACTCGGGTACATTGACACGCAGTGTCCAGAGTGCGAGGGCCTCCACTCGAATTCAACGTGTGGTGTAAGCGTTTCACGGCATAAAGTCATTAAAGGTCAAGATATATTATGATCATAACAAAGAATGGATAAATGTATCGGGAAGAGACAGGTAGTGAGGCATGGTGCTGACAAATAAATGAGTGGTGTCATGTTAAATGTGGAATTCAAATCCACGATCATATTTCTCTGGCGAGATCTCAAAGATTACAGCGCCGATGACCACCTGACCAGCTGTACCACCCATTAACGTCATATGCTTCATTATACTATGTTTACATTTTATCGCGACAAATTTGCTCAATCTACATTCTAGTGGCATGTCTATTTGGTCACATGATATTGCTGCGTTGCTAATTACAATTATAGTTGATAAAAAATAAAACATAAATGTCTCCAGACCTCCGGAAGTACATCTGGAACCGAGCAATGACACCATCAATGTTGGTGTCGGTGAAGACCTCCGTGTGCAGTGTGTGTCGTGGATGATGCCAACCCCAGTGTCCACACATTTTAATTGGACACACAACGGACGAACAAGTGCTGGGTCAACCTTCTAAATCCTGCAACGTAACCAAGTCTGACCAAGGACAACTGGCCTGTACTGCTGACAATGGACACATGATGACACCTGGACGGGCAGATGCAACTATAAATGTGACATGTAAGGACAAGTGTTTACTATATATATCATTGCTTCCTTGACTGGTTTGGGGAATTGGTTTTGCGAGGACAGAGGGAGAAAAATTCATGAGTATCGTTCAGTTGTAATTGCACATGTATTGCAAAAGCTGTCTTGAACGTCCTGACGTCACATCAGTTTTAAATATTGAAGGTAACGTTATGTTAGCCCTTGTTCGTTACATCATTTTGTTCAAATATTACATTGACTGGCTTGGTTCCAGTGAAGGTAAACAGGTGAACTCACAATGCTCCTTTTTACTGAAAGATTATGGGATTCCCAATAACTTACTTTCTTAACTCGGTCAGTGATTATCAAATGCAGTTGGTTTTCAATTTGAAATATAATGCATTTGACACAAATAACAAGTTTAGTCTCCAAGATAATTAACTATTTTCAGTAAAACTCTCCATAAGACTGTATGATACAGGAGCGTCATACGACCCTTGCTTAAAGGGAATTTGCTTTCCTCAGAATGCTTGGTAGCATCACTATTTCAATAGTGATTCTTAAACACATTCTCATAATATATGAAATTGTGCAGTTGTACAGTCGACCCTCCATTTGGAAGAAATTTCTAATGGATGTGGTTTTAACACTAACATTTATGCATCATCCGATGGATTCTTTTCACAGGGTATAAATGTCTTATGATATTGTGCATTCTATACTGTGAATGTTTGATGTTGTCGTTATTTTTAAAACCTTGTAAAATATTAACTGGAATCTTGTGTTGTCTGACATAAGATCCACCGGAGATCCACCTGTCAACAAGACAAGATGTCATCAAGTGTCATGGTCGGGCATGTCGTAGAAGTTGAATGTGTCGTTGACGATGCAAACCCTGCCGTCAACTCCTACATATGGCGTCACAACGGCGATATCAGTTACGGACAGACTTTTCTGAAACACGTGTCGTCTTCTGATTCGGGTAACCTATCGTGCTCTGCTACCAATAGACAAGGGACATCAACTGTTCAAACAAGCATCACAGTCTGTGAGTAGCCCCAATACCGCTGACATGTTTATGCCAATAGTTGACGAAAGCAGATTTTGTGGTTAATGTTTTGCTTGATGGCTGGAAAAACTTATCACCTATGTTAAAACAGAGTATAGTCCCTTAGAAGAAATATCAAATATATATTCGTAAGAATATATACGTAAATACAGTTCGCTCTACCTCCGTGCATAGTGCAATAAAACACACTTTCGCCCTGAACTATTATACTTAAACGTTAACGTTATATTAGTTCAGGGTGAAAGTGTCGTAACTACTAATATACATGATGGTACAGAGAACTGAATTTCTTTCTAGGATGACAAATTTAAATACTTCATTAGACTAACTACGATTAATCTAAGGAGGAAAACAAACGACGGTGTCGGTGATTTAAATTAAGACTCGCTTAACTGACGTGCTGTTCTATTGATTTGTCTGCCCCTACATTAAGACGAACGTTACCAGAAAAAACAAATGATAAATAGTTTGATGACTGGTTTACTTTCGGTTTAAATTACTCTATATTACATATGATTAACGTAAATATGAACGTCGCTTTTCTACTACCAACGTAAGTTTAGATCAATTACATCCATATTAAGCTTACAAGTCATGCGACATTATACGGATGCATTTTGGGTCGCCAATGTAAACACAGTAGGAATGTAAACACATTGGGAATGTGGGAATGTAAACGACGCGTGAAGCAAACTGCAAAACCAAGAAACGGGATGCAACGGGTAGTTTACTGAAGGAGGCTGGCTGTACGAGGCGATGACCACTGACATCCATCGTTATGTCGGTTACATTGTGGCGTAATGCAAAATTGTTCGATTACGAGGGGGCAGACTATAATGGCGATGTAACGTCAATACATTATGACGTAATGCAAAAGTGTACATCACCGTCTGATAATGTACTGTGCGTCTTTGATCTTTCACCGAAGCATCTAAGAATGTACAATATAAGCATGTGTAAAAATCATAAATGTCCCTTGACCCGCCAGAGGTACATCTGGAACCAATCAATGGCACTGTGGTTGTCGTGGTCGGTGAAGACTGTGCGTACACTGTGTAGAACACGTCAACCCTTGTAAAAACATCGGAGGCAAATCTTCTCCTTACATCTTCCAAATAGAGTGCATTCATTTCTTAATTGTGGTAATCTGTTCTTTCTGTTCTGCCGCCACAGTGCAAGCTGTCTCTTTGATCGGGGACAATGGCACTACAAGCAACAATACAGTGATTGCCATAGCAACAGGATCTGTTGGCCTGGTCATCATCATCATCCTCATCATCATCATCATCTATCAGGACTGCAGTAAGTGTATTTGATGGTATAACTTGATAGACTGTTACAAAACGTAATAGTCACATCGGCAATATTTGTGGTATAAAAGTTATAAATTAACAATCACAATTATGATAAAACATGCACGAAGGCTGGACATCACATGAATAAATTTAACTTACTATTTTTACCTTAAACGACAAATTGAATACAATATAATATCCGGCTAACAACTATACTACTAGGGACCATGGGGACTTACAGTACATTGCTTCCTGCAGGGCTAGCTGGTTACTTCTCCCTTCAAATGACTGTAAACATCTCTATTTTAAAAATAGAATTTCTACGATTAAAAATGGAAAGTTTCAATTTACTCTGAATATGACATTGACTAACTGCCTTTTATGATTTCAGCTATTATAATACGTATAACATCCGAGTACAAATGAGGTAGGTGTAAATAGTTTACTGATGGAATGTGTAATCAATGGGTTGGCTAATTTTACTGATGGAATTGTGTAATCAATAGTTAGCTCATAGTAACTGGTAATACTTAGCTATGGTGATAATAATCTGAAAACGGAACATGAAGTGGAGCCAGATTGCCCTTTCTGCTTTCTATTCCCCACTAAAATTAAAGTTACGGACCCACATTTGTTTATTTTACCGATGTATTTAATATTACATTTTAAAAAGCTATCTAAAAATGCATTTTTTATAAATCACAATAGCTTACTTGTCAGTTCGTAGAAATCTTTGTCTGTTGTACAGTTATAAAACTTACTGAACATATGTAAGGTGGCAGCTAGGATAAGGGATCACTGAAGAGCTTCCAATCATACGTTTCGGTGCACATGCTTGATAACGGTGTTAATATCTACACCTCGCATGCATGACCATAGAGAAATAGTCAATCCATTTAACTTGTCCCTCTTAAAACTCACAAAGGGTAATGCAGATTAACGAACCATATTTTTAAGGATATATATATATCCTAATCTCTGATAAACGAAGCAGAGATTACATGGTTTTATCACATACAAATATTCCCATTTGATTTTGCATGTCGTACTAGAACTGCACAGACGCCCAGGGCAGATGATGGGGAAGCCAACATATTTACGAGACCGTGGAACGGCCAAGTGGAGGTATAGCACCATTATTAGTAGGTCATGCCTACCATTACTGAGAATGCCGGGTGTCATCACTGAATTTCAGTGATACAGTCCATATAATCTTCACCCCGCTATTTTGCAAAATACACAATGCAGTTTGTTTCGAAGATGGTTGTTAAAAGCCAAATTTAGGGAAGACTTTTTGCAGACAGAAGAATATATGTCAGCTTTGGGAATTACATTTTGTCTGGTATTTTTTACCTTGGCAACTGAGTTTGTTATATGTTCCAGGTGCTTAGAAATTACCTACTGTGACTTCGGAATGATTCCGCAAGGAAAAGTAATGAACATTGCTTTGTAAATGTGCAGCGTTTTACGTCGCATCTGCAAAACGATCAGCTAATTAACAGGTAGGCACAACATTAAATGAACATGAAAGCAATACATCAAACCTTATATGACATTTCCAATCCCATCTAAATCGTTGGATGCAGATCTCCTACAGCAGTAGCTGGATTAACCAGTCTTAAAGAGTTGCAGAGCCTATGAATTCTACTTCCCGTGAAAGAACCGGGTTAGAATTGATCTTCAGCAATCGTCATAAAAGGGCGACTACGAAGTAAAACTCGTTCATTATGACAGGACTTACGTGTCACATCACGGTACAGCAATGTTAAGCATTCCCAACTCCTTGCCAGAGTCATTACTATTCCCTATTAAAGGCTGGCATCATACCAAATTAAATACTCTTTTTGAAGCTTGAATCCTTTTACAGGTATTGAACTACGACTTAATGAAGTTCAAGGAATCTGTACGCTATAACCTTGTTTTCAGATATTTATGTGTCCCAATTTCTGTTTCTCCTACCTGGCATTTTGGGGTTCACAAGATATACATGAGTTATTCTGCCAAATCAAGCATTCTATCCAAGATCCTATAAAAAGTTTATTCTGAATAGCACAATGTTCCAGATGCCGATCCTGCTCATATCTATGGCAACCTTGCATTTGACGATGAAGAAAACACACAACAAGAAACAGGTAAACTGTTGCTGGTTTGTGACACGAATCAGATATTAAAGTTAATTGCGGTCCTTCTTTCATGAGGCTGTTCGGAGTATTAACCATATATTAGTGTTAATAGGGAGGCCTATATCAGTTAATCAAATTTCAAGACAAGACAAGCAGAATGATGGAGAGAAAGGCCCCTCATGACGATACGCGAATTCTGCAATTATCATAACAACTTAAAGTTAGTTTGAGTTTGCGTGTGTCTAATCATAAAAGGTATCATAGGTGTATCACAAAAAAGATACGATCAGACCTTCGTGTTAAGCTTCCGGGCGACCATCAGCTGAACATCATGGCGTCCAATGTTATGCTGGGGCTCTCGTTAGAGAAAAACAATCAACCCCGACACCTTCCAGGAAAATGTTTCTTCTGTGCCACGACATGATACACACTGGATGACGCAGCTCTACATCCACATGTATTATAATATATTAATAACTTTCTTCACTGTGGGGTAAATCTGTAAAGATCCATGGTTGTCGATAGAGGCGACTAACGGGGTCAGGATGTCGTGCTGTCTGTTTTGCTTGACACATGTCATCGCATTCCAATTACTTAGATCGACGCTGGTGCCTTTGATCCCTGGCTTGTCTGGCCAGGACTCGATTACAAATCCATTTAGCTGAATATTGATGAGTACGTTTAACAACAGCAGCAGCAACAACAAAACAACAACAACAACAAGAGACTGTTGGGTCACACCTCGAATGACCTTCTTTGCCTCTATCACCCGAAATGCTCAATCACACTTTGATATAGGCTAAAACTGGTTTTGGCCTGAAATTGAGACGCCCACAGTGTCAGCCAACCTAGTGTCTAAAAAAGATGATACACAAAAATCATGTATTGGGCAAGCATTTTAATTTTGAATCACAGTGTATGCTGAAATTTTGTATGTTCACAGGAACTGCTTCGGGCCAATCCTACAGTGACATCCAGCTTGAAATGAGCGAGAACATACGAAAACAAAGAGGTACTAAGACGTTGATAAAGACACCACATAACTGTGCGGAGTCGTACAAAATGCACATTGACTTTGTAGGGTGCATATTTACTCAACACAGCTATGGCGCTTTACCATCTGATCTGGTTGGGGCGGCGGGGTAGCCTTGTGATTAAAGCATTCGCATAGGGCTGAATTCGATTCCCACATGGGTTACAATGTGTGAAGTCTATTTCTGGTATCCCCATATGATATTGGTGGAATATTGCTAGAAGCGAAATTAAACTGAACTAACTTCCCTCACTCTCCCCGGTTTTCATGATATCAGTGATGAGAACTGGTGGCCCAGAAGTCTAAAGAAACACACAGCTGCCTCAGTCCGCGGGTTGAGTTCTAATTTACTATAAATGATGGTTCATGGTTCATAGTAATATAGAGTTCAATAATGTACAACATTAAAACTGCCTGTGCAGCAAGGCTATAGACCGTCAAGTTCCAGATATGTCCAAGATGTCATCCTCCGCATCTCGACATCCTCTGCATCTCGACACCCTGTCAGGGATTGTGTGTTTCTAAATGATGTTCACAGATGTAGCAATACACGATGGTTTGAATCTCACTTCTCACACTCAGCTGTTGTTGAACTGACGTGAACTGTTTATGTGCGCACACTCTTTGTCAATAACCTTCTCGGTAGATGCTGTTCTAGACTCTTTCATGTTAATTTATGTGACATAGTGTCCTGTTTATCAGCGGTACATGGTCCTGTTTAACAGTTCTATATAAGTCCTGTTTATCAGTGGTACATGGTCCTGTTTAACAGTTCTATATAAGTCTCGTGCATCAGTGGTACATGGTCCTGTTTAACAGTTCTATATAAGTCCTGTTTATCAGCGGTACATGGTCCTGTTTAACAGTTCTATATAAGTCCTGTTTATCAGTGGTACATGGTCCTGTTTAACAGTTCTATATAAGTCCTGTTTATCAGTGGTACATGGTCCTGTTTAACAGTTCTATATAAGTCCTGTTTATCAGTGGTACATGGTCCTGTTTAACAGTTCTATATAAGTCCTGTTTTTATCAGTGGTACATGGTCCTGTTTAACAGTTCTATATAAGTCCTGTTTATCAGTGGTACATGGTCCTGTTTAACAGTTCTATATAAGTCCTGTTTATCAGTGGTACATGGTCCTGTTTAACAGTTCTATATAAGTCCTGTTTATCAGCGGTACATGGTCCTGTTTAACAGTTCTATATAAGTCCTGTTTATCAGCGGTACATGGTCCTGTTTAACAGTTCTATATAAGTCCTGTTTATCAGTGGTACATGGTCCTGTTTAACAGTTCTATATAAGTCCTGTTTATCAGTGGTACATGGTCCTGTTTAACAGTTCTATATAAGTCCTGTTTATCAGTGGTACATGGTCCTGTTTAACAGTTCTATATATAAGTCCTGTTTATCAGTGGTACATGGTCCTGTTTAACAGTTCTATATAAGTCCTGTTTATCAGTGGTACATGGTCCTGTTTAACAGTTCTATATAAGTCCTGTTTATCAGTGGTACATGGTCCTGTTTAACAGTTCTATATAAGTCCTGTTTATCAGTGGTACATGGTCCTGTTTAACAGTTCTATATAAGTCCTGTTTATCAGCGGTACATGGTCCTGTTTAACAGTTCTATATAAGTCCTGTTTATCAGTGGTACATGGTCCTGTTTAACAGTTCTATATAAGTCCTGTTTATCAGTGGTACATGGTCCTGTTTAACAGTTCTATATAAGTCCTGTTTATCAGCGGTACATGGTCCTGTTCCTTTAACAGTTCTATATAAGTCCTGTTTATCAGTGGTACATGGTCCTGTTTAACAGTTCTATATAAGTCCTGTTTATCAGTGGTACA